CCCCCCCCCCCCCCCCCCCCCCCGATGCACACACTCACACGTATAGATACCATGGGGTTGAACAAGATATGGCCAAACAGAAATCAACTGTCAGCTCAACTCAAAATCAAACTGTCCAAAACCAAACAGATCTAACCATAGGCAGTACACCTCTCTTACCTCATTGACAAGAGATTTGTGGCTAACACGGAGAAACAATGCAGTAATCAGTTCCAGTGTCATATAGTTGACAGTGGGAAGCTTCTTCAATATATTTCTCATTTTGGGTATGCTGGAGCGGGACACTCTGATTTCTTCATACAAATAGAAGGTCGTCAATGGCTCCGGTAGGCTTGCAAGGTAGCACTTTATAAGAGCCGCTACATCAAGGGGGTTTACACCCTCTGGTAGCGATGCATTTGGATCTGTACACAAGAACAAAATATTTTAAAAAATTTATAACAGTTATGGTGTGTTTGGATCACAGAAAATGATAGGGAAAGGAAATAAAAACTGCTAAACATAGTTACATGCTTATATTTTGTTTTACCTTGGAAAATCTAAAGGAAAAGGAAATATGATACTCCACATACAAAAAAATTAACACAGATCTCTTAGTATTTATAATAAAAGAGATTTAATCAAGTTTTAGCTAAGCTAAAATCAAACCAGGCATGCCCAGTTAATCCCACTCGGTGGTAGGGTCTGGAGGCAAGATGTAAGCATACCTTACCTCTACCCCTAGCTCATTGAGTAGAGAGGTTGCTTCCGGAAAGGTCCCAAATAATCAAGAGGTCCAACAAGCTCCAAATTTAGTCAGATGGACAGATACCTTCATTATATAATGCAACCAAGTTCCGAAGAATCTTTCTATCTCCTTCAGACTTGAATAGCCCCCGAGAATTTAATCCTACACCAAAGAAGGAAGATGTGGTCATCAAATCATTTCATCTTCAATGAACAAGATCAGAAATCCGATTTATGGGGTTGCTCCGTCACCTGATAAGACAAGATGATCTGCACAGTTGACCAATATATATGGTATAGGCCTGGTGGATTGTTGTCGGTGAACAGTTATTTCAATGGGAACTCCAAAAACTGTTAAGACAAATTGAATACCTAAAATGAGTGAAGTCTCTCTAGAAATCATGGACAATAAGCATAGGCAATGACGAGCACCCATAGCACATACGAGGCAAATATAAATGGGTAAAGTGAGGCAATCAACAAAAACAACCCAATATAATCCCAACTTTGTTGGGATGTGAGGGCCAAGCTGCACACAACCTTACCCCTGTAAATTAAAGGGAGACTGCTTCTGTTACTCTTCACCAATTTCTGCATTTACTACCCAAAACTTCATTGAAATTTAGGAGTAAGAAGCAAATGAAGTTTTAATATGTCATTTTGATTTAGTACATAAGTTACTTAAGCTAAAACATTGTTAAATGCACCTCCTTTAGCTCCAAATAACCTAGAGGTTCAATGAGATCCAAAGTGAGGAAATAAATTGGGGAAATTAATATGAATCAAGGGCCCTCTGGTAAGGGTTATTTGGCTAAAATGGCTGAAACAGTTGTATATGTAATATGTGGAATATTCTGAAACAATAAGTGTTTTGTAAAAGACACATTTCAGCCAAATCAACAAGTTAAAAGTTACTTGTTCTGCCCAAAACTGACTACCAAACAGAACCCAAATTTGATCTGATTTTCCTGATTAGGTGTCTCCAAGCAAAGGGAAGGTTATGATCATCTTCCTTCCCCACAAAAATAATTGCCTTAATTACTAGTCTGAACTACTCGTAGAACTTAAGAACGCCATTGAAGGATTAACATTAATGTATCAAGTGGTATAGACATCAGCATAGGCCAATCATACAACATACCGTCAGTGCTTGCAACACCCTACAAACGGAAAAAGGGAAAGACATCATTCTTTACACTCCAATCCACAAAGTAACTACTTAGGAAAAGAAAAAAAAGGTGTATATACCTTCTGCCAACGCTCAATATCAGTCAGAAGGGTCTTACTCTTTTGTGCAGTTTTCTTTGCCACCTAAACCACAATATGATGGTTGTGATGCATGGTCAAATGTAGAAAAGTATAACTTCTTTATGTGAACTAAAGTAGTGTGCAGGTTCATATCCCTCCTTTGGTCACTATATTTGCTAAGGATATATTCACTTAACCCCGTACTTGGGTAACTGGTAATGACATGACTCTTATTACTTCGTCAATTCCCTTTTACCCGTCCATGTAATTATCATCACTCTTTTTTCCCTAAAACATGAAGTTATATGCCGCATAATTTCCTTCTTGGTTAATACCTCTTCAACTTTTGTCTTCCCAACAGCAACCTTATCCTTTGTCTCTGACAATCCCTTTCTCAAGAACAAGCTGGTGGTAGCAGCTGCAGAAATGAAACGCTCCTGGATAGCTTGTCTTGTAGCCGGCTGCTGCAGAAATAACCAACGGCTCTTGACAATAGACCCAACCTTCTCTGCAACATCAGTGACATTTCCCTTTGCATCTTTGGCGACCTCCCCCAAAGCCGTCCCTGCAGACTGCCCGGCTTCTTTAAGCTTGGCCCCTACACACAGAAGAGATAATAACAATGGTGGATTCGCGATGCAAGTGAAAGTCAAAACAGGTCAAAGATGAGTTACAATTACCAGATGACTGGAAAAACAAACTAGCCTTGTCTTGCCACTGAGGTGAAACAGCAGAAGGCATTGACGTTTAACCAACTACTACGATTATCAACTACAGACGAAATCAAAGTTCACCTACACGGAACAGAACGCACATGAGCCAACTAACGGATGTAAACAGATTTTTATAATGATTCATTCCGAAGGCTAATCTGTTTTCTCACTCTAACAACAAATCCCATTGGAATTCCAAATTCCATGAAAAACTAACACAAAATAATACATCGAAACACACAAAATAAGAACCCTAATTTCAAATTAATGATACACAATTAAAGCTAGGATAAAGCACTTGATCGGATATGCAGAACGTAGAAAGTAGATTTTCCCCCCTCCTCCGTCTAATTTTATTCTATTTCTTTCCGATTATATTCCGATTGATTTGGGAAAGTGATCGAAAACTAGGGTTTATACCTTTGATCTGAGCCAGGAAATGCGAAGCAGGTCGACGGGAAATGCTGCGGAGAAAGAGGGGGAAAAAAGCGAAAAGCAATTAATGATAGATGGCGCATTAACTGATCATTATAATTCATAAGACTCGAAACGCGGGGGGCGTTGTGGAAATTACCGACTGATTGAGGAGGGTGCAGGTAATTATTTTACTATTTAACCCAAAGTTCTGGATGTATCCAACCGTTATAACGGTCGAATACTCGCATGCCAAACGAGCCCCAAATGGTTGCCCCCTCTATCAAACGGAGCGTTGATTTTTTTAGGACTGTTGATTACTTGATTTTAGTATCTTTAATTTTAAGTAGTTCAGATTTCTTTTTTGACTTTAGGTGAGTCATTAAGTAGTGTTTGACAACTAGCATTTCATTTCAATTCATGCATTTCAATTCTAAAATTTGAAATCTTGAATTTCAAATGACAAGGGGAGGTGCATGGATTTCAAATTAAGCTTTGTTATGAATGAGAAGAATTTGACTCAAATCCAAATTCAAAATTTTTAAGTTTTCTAAACATGGAATTTGAGCCAAATCCGGATTTGAAATCCAAATCCATGTTCCCAAACATACCATAAAAGAATTTGAATTTGGTAATTTCAGATACAAATCTTTCCGATTAATAGTTTTGATATCTTCTGAATTTGAAAAATATCTCCCTTAACGGTCGATCATCACCTGCCACCGGTTATCACTGCTACCTCCATTCACCCCGTTGCCGGCAATCCCTGCTAATCATTAATCAATTCATGATTTTAGATTTCTTCATACAACTTTATTTCAGATTTTAAAACTCATACTCTCTCTGTCCGGAAATTTTCTTCCCATTTGACTTTTTATGATCTCCAAGATTACACTTTGACCACTAATATCTTTATTTATACATAGATATATTTTGAAAAAATTTGATATTTGAAAACTACTACGTATATATCAAACGGAATATATTTATATTAAAGTTATATCGTGATCCAATGTATTTTTTCCATATATCATAGTCAAAGTTAATAAACTTTGACTAAAAAAAGTCAAATGAGAAGAATATTTTCAGACGGATGGAGTATCATTTTTTCTAGATTTCAAAGTACTATCATCTTTTTGACTCATCAAAAGGACCTTAGTGATAAAGAGTTGACCTCTAATGTCTTTGTTTTTTTTAGGGAAAGCAAAACATGCCATTAACGAATTAAGTGCGAAATACAAGCAGGCGGATCGGACGGCCAAACGTTGTCTCCGTCCTCAGAGTTCTTAACCAAAATATGCGCAATAGAATTAAAACGCCTTGAAAAGTAACATAAATGAATCAAATTGGCTCCAAAGTATTCATTTAGTTTAAGTTGTTTGAATCAAATTGGATAAATTTTAGGCATCAATCATATTAAATTTACATTAATTATTAGTGGAATAAAATAAAATTATAAACATTTTTCATAAAATAAATCTATTTAAATATTTTTATACTAATACAAGATGCAATTTTTTATTTGATGACTACAGAGTAAAATTTATCAAGCTTAATTCGAAAATTTCAAAGAGTATAAATATTTTAGAATGAATCTTGTTCTAAATTTTTTAAAATTGAATTAAGCATGACTATATGTCACAATGTGCTACACCTCAAGTCCTATCCATACACACAAGAGGCGATATGATAAAGCAGTTGAGCGGCTTATCAAGCCGATTATCATCGCCAGTTTTTCAAATTCGTCAGCTTGCAGGAGATTTATCGTCCATCCCACCCAATTCTTATCATCACCGGATCGCTGCTAAGGAGAAGATCGAGGTTCGTCTCACAGTGAGAGCTCACTCCACATCACCGGAAGCAGTCTCCTCCGGCAGCAGAATGGTCAAAGCTATTAGGGTTCACGAGACTGGGGGCCCCGAGGTATATCCATTTATCTCACTGTCTTCGAATTCGAGTGCTCCGTTTCTGTTTATCTCTTAATGTCAGCGAATTCCGTGTAGATTTGATCTTATTATCAGCTACGGTTTCTGTTGCTAAGAGGTGAGCTCGATTTGTTATAGGTCCTCAAGTGTGAGGATATCGAAGTAGGAGAGCCAAAGGAAGGGGAGATCAAGGTGAAAAACCAGGCAATTGGCCTGAACTTCATTGATGTACAGTTTCGCAGAGGGTCTTATAAGGCTGTTACATTGCCATTTACACCAGGTTTACTTTCCTCTTTCGTAATGTATGCTTGTGAATCTGTTTATAGACATTGGCTTGCTATGAATCCATTGTTGAGGCTGTATGTTGTCAAATGCTCTACTCCAACTGTGATCAGTCTGAAGCTTCAAGCCTGAAAGTTTGTTTCTGTCCCAAAGAATGGTTAGGTGGGGTAGGAGAAGTGTTTTATGGGGTGCGCAAAGGATTAGTGCGGAAGAGTTTTGAGAAACAGAGGGAGTAAATGAGTACTTTTGATGGTTTACAATAGCTGTATCTTACTGAAAGTTAAAAGTTTAACTTTATGAAATACAACACTTTTTATGGGATGGAGGGAGGGTGTGGCTATCCTAAAGATACCATCTTTGCAATAGAACCTAGTGTGGATAAAAGAATAGTCAGTATATAGTCGTAGCTTTTGCTGCCCATAGAATAAGGGCCTCGTTGAATAACTTAATGTTTTCTCATTTATTCACTTTGGAAGTGATTTTTTATTCCCTTAAAAAAAGAAACATTCTTATGCTTTAGTAAAAAAGCATCAAAAGTACTTATAACTGTTAAAAAGCATTTTTTCCATTTTCCTTCTGAATGCTTCTTTTTGGAAGTAAAAAACATTTCCCCCCTTATTCCTATAAAATCTTTCATCTCAAACGTTCTCTAAGTAGCTTTTGAGTTATTTGGCCGGAGCTTGAAATGGACTTTACCAAATGCTTTCCCTTCAAATAATTCAGCAGATTTAACTTTTTTAATCCAATGACTTTAACCAGATGGGGACTAAGTTCTCAGTCGGCCATTTCTTTTTAAAACAGACCAAGCTGATGGGATGGTGCATGTTGTCTTTCATGAATTCACTTTCTATGATAACTGTTGGGCCATGCAGCAAATGTGAGATTTTACACACACACACATGTATACATATAGTTGAAGACACACTGTGCTTAATTTTCTACAGGTATGGAAGCTGCTGGAGTGGTGACAGCCGTTGGTCCTGGATTAACTGGAAGAAAAGTTGGGGATATTGTAGCATATGCTGGCCACCCAATGGGTGCATATGCTGAAGAACAGATCCTCCCTGCAAATAAAGTGGTGCCTGTTCCACCTTCTATTGACTCCATCACCGCAGCATGTGTACTTCTGAAGGGAATGACTGCTCATATGTTAGTTCGCAGTTGCTTCAAGGTACACTTAATGTACGGAGTATCATTTTAACAATTTACTGCATTCGGGCGTCCATTCCCAGTCATGCACACACTGCAACCGGGGCAAACATAAGTACATAACTATATCATATGCTCAATGCCTCAATGCTTATGTAGCTAAGTGATTACTCCCTCCGGTGCTCAAAAAAGTGCTGTTTTGGAGGAAAAGTTTATGTCACAATGTTTTTTTAATAAAAAAACAATACTCCGTATTTAATTACTTTTTTCATATTCCACTTTTTATCCACCTCAATACTCAATTGCTCTATATGATGACTACTTAACAGTGAGTGATATCAAGTTCTTAATCTACCCGATTCCTTTCAAAATGACACTTACTGTGAAAATACAGGGTACATTCTTGATTAGCATCTTTGTACACAGAAAATATTGTGCGTGTCACTTTCAGACTTCTAAAAGTCCTTGGCTAGCTGACCCCCACGGCCCACCCCCTTCCCTTTTAATTGATCACTTTCATTCTTCATGAAATGTAAATTTCTATGGGTTTGCTTTCTGAGAGTATGCCATCATGCTATTTCAGGTTGAACCTGGACACACTGTTCTTGTTCACGCAGCAGCAGGTGGAGTTGGCTCGCTTTTGTGCCAATGGGCAAATGCACTTGGTGCCACAGTCATCGGGACTGTCTCAACTAAAGAAAAGGCAGCCCAAGCAAGAGGAGATGGGTGCCACCACACCATAATCTACAAGGAAGAGAATTTTGTGTCCCGTGTGAATGAGATCACTTCTGGAAAAGGAGTTGAAGTTGTCTATGATTCTGTTGGCAAAGACACCTTTCAGGTACTAATCCTCGCCTCTTTATAACTACCAAAATCTTTTGATCTTTATAGAATCTGAAATATACTCCATATATATATCAACATATATAGCAGCATCCCCTTCAACTATCTCCATTCAAACAGACCCTATAGAGTAAAGGTGTTGTGGCATCATAATGTGTCTAGGTCATAAACCAGCATGTTGATCTCCTTTTGCAGAACTTGGAAGCTTTCGTTCTTGTCTGTGATAAAAAAAATTAGCCTTTTGATGTTACATTGTTGACCCGATGTCATATTTATGTTCAAACTTTTGTGTGCGCGTGTGTGATCAGGGATCCCTAGAATGCCTGAAGGTGCGTGGATACATGGTGTGTCTGGGACAGGCATCTGGGGCACCAGATCCTGTGCCCTTACCTGCCCTGGGGGCAAAATCACTGTTCTTGACCAGACCAACACTGTTCCATTACATAGCCACGCGCGATGAGCTGCTGGAATGTGCCGGCGAGGTGTTTGCCAATGTTTCGTCCGGCGTCTTGAGGCCACGCGTCAATCACACCTTTCCCCTCTCTCAAGCAGCACAAGCTCACGCCATCTTGGAGAGCAGACAGAGTTCCGGATCTGTCGTGCTCATTCCAGACAACAAGGACTGATCTTTGTTCATGGAAAAACTCGAATAAAAATGTCACCCGGTCCGGTAATGTTATAACATTACTTATTTAAAGACTGTTGCGATTGTTTTACTGTGCTTTATGACATAATGTGACACAATGTTGTGTAATGTACCATGAAAGTCCGGGGAGATGAGATCTCTTTTTCATATTTTGCATGATTTTTGCCTTCCTTGGTGTCAACTGTCAACTAAGAAACTAAGAGACTTGTGACACGGAGTCGGGAGTACTGCGCTAGGCCCAATGATACGAGGCCCGGTCTACGAAGGAGGCCCATAGAGAGCCCTTGTATAAACTCTAATCCTTTTTATGTTAAGTTATTTTAACTAATATTTAATATTTTAACTCAATGGAATAATACATGATATACATTACCTACAATGGGATACTTCATTAGTGAACGACCTTACATATAGACAACATATAGGATGATGTGTTAGTGAAAATGATCTTTTAGCATTCTGGGTTAGTAGGTGCAAATAAATACCCCGCAAGAAACAGTGAATTCTATCGTTCACATATATACTCTGTTCCTTCCAGTTTTACAAAATAAATATTACTGGTAAAATTTATACTTAATACTTCCTACATTCTATAAAAAAAATTGATTTTGACTTTTTGGTGATTTAAGGGTGGTGTACTTTGGTGTTTGACCTTCCACAAATATCCTTAGGATTTCTTTTTAAAAGAGATGTTTCACATCAATGAATAGTTAAGAATAATGGGAAGGGATAATTAAAAAACAAAAAGTAAGATGAGATGTGAAAAAGTAGGGTTGAAAAAGGGTATTTTAGTTCATTTTTGACTATTTTGATTTATCCATTTAGAGAAAATACAAAAGAGCCTTTTGATTGCATGATTTATATCTGAACATTAAAAAGTGCATCATTTACTCTCGTACTCTTCGAAAGTTGCACGATTTACTCCTGAACTTTAAAAAATGCACCAAATATTTCTGAACAATTTAAAATATTGCACCGTTGGTCCTAAAATGCTAGAAAGGGAATGCATTGCTCCCATGCATGGAAATTACGAGTATGATTCATCTGGCTCTTGTAAATTTACCAAAATACCCTTCCCAAAAATTATCATCTTTATTTAAATGCTTAGGGATAAATCGTGCAATTTCTAAAGAGTTCAGGAATATTTGGTGCACTTTTTAATCTTCAGAGGTGATGGGTATATCCTTATACCCGGCCCGAATAACCGACAGGGACATGTCAAAAAGTTGACCGGTCACTTTTCATGATTACAAATTGAGACAAACTCTTCGATTGAGACAGGTCGAAAGTTGACCGGTCACTTTCCTTAAAAAAGTGACTGGTCACATTTTGGGCGATAGGCAAAATGTCACCTAATGTTACGAAGGATATTTCGGAAGACCAAAGAGACGGGTTGGGCTCAAGAAATGACCGATCGACCTTCGAGTAAAGGTGATTGGTCATATTCTTCTACTTAGCTAATGTTCGGCCACCCTCCCAAGCATGGAAATCAGCATCAAATGCCAGGGTGCCACCTCGCCGCTCATCCATCACGAGATATACAGTGAAAGGAATGTTTGTCATATTGCAGGGTTGATTGGCTAGGGAAGATCTACCTTAAAGTCATTGATTGAATAGTGTCTTGGCTTGTAGCTATTAAAATCATTGATTGTACAGTGCTTCCATTAACTACAGTGACCTTCCTGCTTGTTTCCTATTTTGTCCATGGATGAACAGGGGAAAGGTCACATATCCTCTATAAATATGTTGATTATGGATAGAGGAGTGGATCCAATTTTTATCTCACTAAAAGTACACTCTTGAGATAGAGTAAGAAATATACTTTCAGATTGAGGAGTTTTACCCGGTCTAGGTCATACTTTGTGTTCTGATTGTGTGTGTTTACTACAAGTGGAGTTTGTGTCCAAGTCAAGACCAGGTCAATCTACCCAGTTATATTTACACTATCAAGAGGTAACCCGTGCAATTTTTAAGAAATTCAAAAATATTTAATACACTTTTTAATATTCATGGATAAATCTTACAATTTCTATAAAATTCGAAAATAAATGGTGCATTTTTCTCTATTTTTTGTCTACTCTCTAATGGTGGGGTGGTCTAAAAAGTGAAAGTGAAATGCATGAGTAAGACAAAAAATGTGTATCCAAACATTTTTTTATTTGCATATGCGGAAACATTTCGTTTAAACAGTAAGAATATGTGGAATGACATAAATGGATACGTTTGGGCGAGGGGATCAAAAAACAGAAAACGCCCTTTAGAAGGGACAGAACGGTAATTTAACGAAGGAAGGACCACAACCCCCCTCGCCTGCAGGCTGTTATTTGTCACGTGATGCAGCACGGATCTCTCTCTCTCTCTCTTACACACGCACCACCTTCTTCTCCGGCGTCGTGCCTCCTCCGCCTGCTGCTCCCACCTTTAGCTCCTGCAAACTTTCTCTCTCTATATCTTGACCGGCCATTTCCATCTCAATCCTTCAGTATTCACTCGTCGTCGTCAAGCGAAGCATTGCGATTGTTCGCCGGAAAAGTCGATGTTAGCGCCGGGAAACCATTTTCCATCGTCGTCTTCGTGATTTTTTGAGCTATTCCTTCTTTTAAGCTTCTTCGGATCGGTGTGCATGAAGAAGAGCATTGAATAGACTGTTCAATAAGCTGAATCTCACTTATCGGTACCTTCTCGCTCTTAATCTCTCGGCTTTATCTTCTCTCTATCTCATCTACTTATTTTCAGACGCATACGGTGGTCATTGTTAGGGTTTTGGATTATTTTATTTTCATCCTTCACTGAAATGGAGTTTGATGTTTTCGGATATGGTGTTCTCCATTAATGGATTTCCGAGCTCATCTGCTTCGGAAGTTGAATCCAGATGACTACACAGACGTACATAATCCTCTGAAATTTCATGTGCTTTTTTTTCCTTTCCGTTTTCAACGCTCGTCTGCAGTTTCTTCATTTTTGATTTTTTATTACCTTTTTCCTGCTTCTTCGTTCTCGCGTGTAAACATGTCTTCAGACATTTCCATTTTTGCTGAAACCCTAACTGCAGCACGGCTGGCCACTTCTGATACCAGCCGAAGATAGCGACCCTCAATTTTGTTTCTATTATTGCATTCATCATGATAGTAAATCTCGATCGGTGCAACTTTTTCAACATTTTTTTGAATTCTTTTGAGTATATGTTTCAATATAATCCAAATCAAACACTCATTTAGTTTCATTTGGTGCTTTGCAGATCGACAGGCTAAAATGGAAACTTACTACAGGAGAAGGTCAAGAATGTCCAATCCATCCCTCTCCGTAAGCTACATTTAATTTCTATTTTTATATATGAATAGTTCAAATATTCAGTCTTGACAACCAAACAAAATCAGATTTTCCTCTGACCATATTACTGATTGTCCATTGTTAATGACCGCATGATTCGATAAATGCTGCAAAAATAAAGGGATTGCCATTTTTTGTGCTTTAGCGTTTGGAGTTTTCTAAATTTTCTGCCCTCGCATTTATGTTTACACTTTTATATAATGAAATTTAAGAATTTAATAAAAAAATGAGTTAATAAATTTTGTTTAAAAGAGATGAAAATATTTTAAGCCACATATAATTTTATTAGAAGGAAAATTGGAGAAAAAATAACCTTTTCATTTTAAATGAAAGAGAAGTGTAAAATTTATTATGGTTGACATTTATTTCATCTAAATAATTGAAGAATACATTGGTTAATGTAGAAGTCATAATCTTTTTGCCCCGCTTCATTAGTCCTGGAAAAAAAATATTCTGTTTTAAAAGAAATACTCCCTCCTCGAAAATCTTTTCACTTTTATTTCCATTTGTCTCAAAAAATATTTTTACTTTTAACTAAAAATATTATTTTTACTTTTACTAATTGTGTTACCTTGTATCGCATGATATTTATTTTAGTATTGATCTACCTATCAAATATTACACACTTCATAAATCCCACTTTTTCTAAAGTATAAAAGCTTTGGGGGACGGGGTACGTATGCAATATAATAGAGTATTATTTATCTTATTTTTTACTTCTTTACATAAATGTCAATCATACTGAGTACGAAGTATAATTTAATTTGCTTAGAACCTTTCTGCCGGACTAAGGAAATATAATTACTCACATAATTTGTGCATCTTATTGCTACTAGTTGCAAAAAATGGATTATCAGGGTGGCGTGGCAGGCTCACTGGTTCCGGCTATGCCAAGACTTTCTCCTACGCCCACTACAGCCAACAATTGTACCCTACAATGCAATATTGGTATTGCTGCTGCATTATTTTTATGTATTTACACCATACATTTTATTATTGTTTTCCATATCACCCCTTAGCTAGCATGCAATCTTTATAAGTGTCCAAATCCCAATTTTTCATTTTAGCAAGCAATGTGTAATTTGTGCTATTCTTTTCTTTTAATTTCTAGCTTGAAATCCCTAAAAAAATTATAGCTAAAGAAAAATATCATTTCTGATATGATGTCTTTGTTCCTATCATATTAATGGATCAGCAGAGCATGAAAATCTGGCATGCAATTTCAACATTGAAGTGGGTTCTATTTACGAGATTGATCACATTTATCTTCCTCCAAGAACGCCAGTTCAACTCAAGGCCATGAGAGTTGTTATGGTAAGATAATCGGATTTACTTAATTGGCTGGCTAAGTTAACCAAGCTCAAATGTTCATGATGGACCGTTGAATACTTGTGGGTTTATCATATACTCCATAAATAAATGCATCCCCTGTTCAAATTCTTCTTAGGTTAGTGAGAAGACACCATTGAATGTGGCAGTAAGGTTTCCAAGTATGGAGTCACTTCAACAATACTTCTGCAATAGCATCAGAGAAATGTATCCAGCATTGGATGAGAAGTTTGTAATGGGAACTGCTCTGGCTGATAAAGTGCTTCTCAGGCAAGTTTCTTCTCAGGAGTTTGCAGAGAAGAAGCATCTTGAGAGCTTCTGGTGGGTGAATTCTGCCTCAGTTCATCATCATCATCGCTATGAGGATGATTCCACTTCAAGTAAGGGTGTGTGCTTGTCTGAGCTCAAAGTTAATGGGATGGTTCGTTGGGGAGTTCGCAGGCAGGTCAGATTCCTAAGGAGGCATGAAGACAAAAACATCAAGAATACAAAATCACCTTCCAGCATTATCAACGAAGAAGAGAAAGTGCCACCAGCAACGTATCCTGATAAAGAAGATGAAGAAGAAAATGAGGAGGAAGAAGAAGAAGACGAGGAAGATATCAAAGTTGAAGTTCCTGAGAACGACACGAACCTCAAGAGAAAGAGGTATAGTTTGAGACATACCCCCATAAGAAAGGCCAAAAAAGTAAAGTGGGAGAAGCAAAAATGGAAGAATAACAACACGAAGATGAGAAACAAATGCAAGCTGCTAGTACAATACAAGAACCCCAAAAACAGATGGTCTGAGGAAAGGTCTGCACCAAAATATTAATTTCTTGGATCACTAATACATATTGATCTGACTATGTAATTTGAATATGCACTATGTGAATGTAGGTATAAAATGGCAGAGAAGAACCTTCTGGAGGTCATGCAGGGGAAAAAAGCAACAGCTAATAACCCAATCCTTCGGCCTGAACTAAGAGCAGAAGCCAGGAAGCGAATTGGTGACACAGGATTGCTAGATCATCTACTCAAGCACATGGCAGGTAAGGTTGCACCAGGTGGGAACGAGCGGTTTCGTAGAAGGCACAATGCCGATGGAGCCATGGAATATTGGTTGGAGAGTGCTGATTTGGTCAATGTGAGGAAGGAAGCCGGAGTGAGTGATCCTTATTGGATTCCACCCCTTGGTTGGAAGCCCGGTGATTGCCTTACTCCTGAGCCCATCTCTGCTCATGAGTTCAACTTCTTGAAAGATGAGATTTGCACCCTGAAAAGGTTTATTATATTCACATATACTATATCACTTTTTATGAAGTCACTTTATTGACATATACTATATCACCTTTTTCCTTCTTTATGAACAGGGAGATTCAGGACTTGCAGGTGAAGATAAAGCAGCAAGAAACCCCACCGAATCTCGTTTCAAATGAAATGGATCCTGATATTTCACCAGTTGCATTGGTAATAAACTAGAGTAATAAATTCAAACACCATTTAAATTTCTCACATAATGTCTTTAAGTTGTGTGTATACATAACACATGCTGTTTCATTCATTGCAGAAGATGTACAAGGAACAATTGCAGACGATCACCTCAGCTTTTTTGGAAAAAATTGAGGTACTTAACAACCACCCATATCCCATTACATTGAATGCAATGATTTCTTCTTCTTTTGGAATGATGGATTCTTGATAATAAAGACCTTGGATTTCCCTTTCATGCATTTTCATGCTTATAACAGTATGGATTAATGATGGTGTTGGGATACAGAAACAAATTGGGAGCTTTGTACACACAATGGAAGAAAAAGAAAAGATTTTATCCACACTAGCGGAGGCAAACGCTGCATACAATGAAAAAAGGCAAGTCGAAGAAGCTGAGCAAAGAAGGAAGAAAGAATTGGAAGAAAGGGCGAAAGCAGGCCAAGAAAAGGCAGCCAAAATAGAAAGGCTTAAGAGCGGATTCAGAATATGCAAACCACAGGGAACTTTCCTCTGGCCAAACAGCAACTCCAGCAACGTCTCTTCTTCTAAGGCTACTGTTCAGGTTGAGGATCTGTTAATGGTCCCAACCCCACCCTCTGTCTCTTCCTCAAGTGCCCCATCAGTTCACCTCCTCCCCAATAACTACTACACATCATCCCCCGTTTCTCCCCCTATCAAGCCCGTCCCCGAGAGACTTGCCCCCATTAAGATCACCCTCTCCTCCGTCTCAAATGCCTGCACCAACACTGCTCTCATCAATCTAAATGATGACCCCTTTAATAACAAAGAAAGGCCGTGTGGAATCCCATCATCAAGGCCCACTATCACCTCCCCCACTGCTGACATAATGCCAAATGTGAGTCACTTTTCAACTCTTCATACATAACCAAGTTTCACTTTGTAGGTCTCAATTATAAAATTTGATCTTTATGCATGAGTGCATAACAACTAAATTATGTCTAAATTGCACAGTAGAGCAAAAAAATGTGAGTTCGTGACCAAAATGCAATGGACCATCATAATGAGACATATGAGGTATTAACTATTTTCCTATTTAACTGATGCTATATCTATGCAGATATTTCCACCAAGCGCTGCAACATTGATGACTGAAAGCTCTAGCAAAGGGAATATTTCCAGCCCCGGCTCAAATGGTCCAACCAAACCCCCCTCTATCACGAAAGAAGGGGGGACATGGCTGGCATTGGCTACTCCAACTACTCCTGCTACAGATGAACATTGCCAGGGATGAAGTGAATGATCATAAACACAGAAACCTACACATGCCTTAAGGATAGAGAAGGGAAGTGCAGGTTTTACAAAATCTCTGTTCCTTTAGTTTTAAAATACGTGATGGCTAAGCTTCATCCTATATATAGAGTAATCTTGCAAACAAAACTAAGAGCTGATTCTGGGTTTACCTTTTTTGTCTGTTAAAAAAAACATTGAAAGGAAATATTGCATATGCCTAAGCATTTTCAACAGCATTGTGCATTTTCTTGGAAGTGAACTCATGCTCAAATACGCCACTTTTCCGGTGAATTAGCAAGAAAAATATGCATTACATGATGTTAGAAACAATAGAATATAAATGTTGTATTGCAATCCTTTTACTAATTTTACGAAATAGTCATCTTTAACAATGTTTTAGCTCCACGTAAAGAATGGGGTAAATCATAATGATGCATTGAAATTACTACTTTTTATGATGTTTTGGGCGGTAAATGTATCAATGCATTAAAGGTCTAACGGAAACAACCTCTTTGTTATTACACGAGTAAAATCACATAGAGATTTAATCCAAGCCATTAGTAACCTTCAAAGTTGTTTTTCTAAAAAATATATAAGAATTCTGAAGAATAAAAGGGTACTCCAATTAAATTCTCAATCAATAATATAATGAACAAACAATCTTTGTATCCAATAGAATACAAAATGCAGTAAAAAAAATCGTAATTGATTCAAGTCATAGTTATAGGATTCAAATGAGCCCATAATCTTAGAAAATAGGATAAAAATTACGGTTTATAACTATATTTATCACTACTTTCAGTACTTTACGTACATCCATCTTGGCAGCATTTTCCTTGTATGAAGCAGGTCACGTTTTACTTCAAAAATCCGTATGTAATAATTGCATGTCATGAAAACAGAACAAAACAAAAAAAATCCCCAAATTAAATATATTAAATCATAATTTACCCCCAAATTACTTCAGGAATTTGTCATCTAATTATCAATAATCAATCATAAACAATTGTTCAATTTAATATAAATCTACACCTAATTACACATATAAACGCAATGAGAATTAAAATTAAGGAGTAATGAGGACGAGGCATTTACCTGCAGAGTTGGAGAGAAATGGGAACGGTTAGGCCAATCTCGTCTCTTCGCGAAGAAAGAGACACGTTTCACGTCAAAGAATAGCCGTTTACCCCCAGAAGAAAATTGATACTTTTATGGACCATGCTACACTTACACCAAAAAATATATCCCATTTGTACACCACAGGTTTGCACAAACATTTCGATGCTTTACACCGACACAAGTGTTGGTGCGTTAATAAAAATTCACACGGACACAAATGTTGGTGCATTTAACAAAAATTAGTTTTACACCAACACAAAGTGTTGGTGCAAAACTGCGGGGTTCAAATTGGAGTATAAAACTTGGGGTAGACATAGCATAATCCTTAACTTATTTATTCTTTTTCTTTCTAAAATAGCCATTTTAAACATACCCGGAGTATATTTCTTGGTTAACACTTTAAATTTCCATGATGTTCACTAATAACTTTGAGGTTATTTAATGAATGTTTTGATATATTATATTAGGTACCTCAAATATAGTATTTTTTTTGTCTGGAAAAGTTCTTTTTCATTTAACTTTCTGCGGTGTCTAATATTTTACTTTGACCATTATTATCTATATTTATACATAAATATATTTTATATGAATCTAATATTAAAAACTACATTTCAATAAAAATATATATTAATATTAAATGTATATCATAATATAATATGGAGTATATTTTTTTCATGTATTGGACAAACTTTGATTGAGAAAAGTTAGGTGAGAAAAACCTGTACGGATTGATGGAGTAAATGAATAAGGAGAAATTGATGATATCAAAGTTGACTTGTTCAAAACTTCCACTATTCCGAGTTAATCGTATTTGCTTCACTTCATGGAATTTAAGAAAACTCTTAAAAAGCTAAAAGTAAGTGGTTCAAATTTAATTAAAGAAAATGATCCATAAAACATTAGGTTTGAGATAGATTTTAAAGGAAAGTAAGTGATTAATTCAGAATGAATGTATACAAAATCATTATATTTGTATATGAAGTATAAACTTAACTCACATAGTCACATAAGATTTTTAACCCTCTAATTTATTCTCTCATACTCGGCATGAGGCAGGGCACATGAGGCAGTAGCCCCTGCAGGGTCCAAGGGGAAAATTATTTGAATTTTTATTTTCGAATTTGAGTAGATAAGAAATATTCATTAATGAAAAGATCACCCTATTAAATATATGTAAGAAAACTAATTTTGGAAAAAAATTAGTTCATTCTTTAACATAAAAAAACATAAATAATTTCATATTTTTAACACCAAGCGGTTTACCAAGTGATTTACTCCGTATTAATTTTGAAAGACGCCGGTTAAATCACTATTATTCAAAAACTGTTACTCACTTCGTTCAAAAAAATTCTTTTTCTCTATGTTTACGAGGTCTGATCGATTTTATTTTCAATTCAATTTATTTGATTGTAGGTATAAAATTTAAAAAATAAAATTTATATATTTAAAAATTATAAAAAAAATTCTACAAAATAAGAAATGACAACATTATATTATTTTATCAAATAACTAACGAAAATAAGTAAAAAAAAAATTAATGTTTAACCATGTAATTATTAACTAGAAAGAATGTCTTAAACGGAGTTATTAATCATTTGTAAAATCTCAAGCCAAATAAGATGTCGGTTAATTCCGAAAACCATATTTATATATACTCTAACAAATTAAGTTCCAATTAAGTTTTACCCCATGTAACTACCCAACACCTGAAATTCTGTAATATATGGTGATGGTAGTGAGAATCAAAATTCCGTTAAAAAAGGGTCCGAACAAAAAAGCTGCAACGTATGGGACACGTGGAACCATCCGATTGCGATGGGCCCCATCACTTCTCTCTCTCCCTCCCTCGCGATCCTTTCTGGTAATGGCGGGTATGCGCACGCACATTCACACAACAAACACACCTCTCTCTCTCTCTCTCTCTTCTCTCTCTAGCTTTTCCTGTCACTCCCATTTTCCCTGCGGTTTCTTCACGCGGCAGCTAAAACGGCGCCGGCGCCGGCGAGATGTTCTACTCTCACCTTCTTCTCGCCCGCAAGGCACCTCTCGGTCAAATATGGTGAGACTTCATCGTCACTTGCAATTTCTCCGTTGTCTACTCGCTCTGCATTTCACCGGAAATGAGTAGAGAGCGTGTTTCGATGTTCACTTGCATTGCAATTCGTTGATTTACGCAACTAATTTGATAAGGAGTACTTATAGATATATATTTTTTATGTTTCGGTCTTTGAATGTGTGATTATGCGAGTATATATGATGCTTGAAGATCCTCTGACTGTGATTAGCAGTGTATCTGAGATTTTACATCGAATTTGAAGCTCGTGTTGCTATAATGGTGCTAATTTCGTCTGGAATTTTCGTTTTGTGATGTCTGTGAGTTGTGTGACTGACTCTCTGTTCATTCCTCTGCTCTTTGTGTGATGAAGGATGGCGGCCACTATGCACGCGAAAATGAACAGGAAGAAGTTGAGCAAAATCAATATTACTAAGATCTGGTAGTGATTATTTGTTTTCCTTCGATTTTTACGTTTCAACGCAATATATAACGAGCCGGGCTGACTGTGTATTCGTGCCCTGGTTTGAGCAGCGAAGAGATTTTGAATCCATCGGTTCCAATGGCTCTGAGACTTTCAGGAATACTCATGGGTACGAATGGTTTAAAAAAGAAGGCGGTGTTTAGCGGTGCCATTCAAAGATAATTGTGATTCAGCTTTTTTAATTACTCTGGTACAATTCAGCTTTAAACCTTGTTTTGCAGGTGGAGTTGTGATTGTTTTTCAGCGAAAAGTGAAACTCCTTTATGGTGAACATTTACATGAATATTCCCTCTTATTGGTCTTTCCGTTTTATTTTTCCTGATAATTCTGCTTAAATTAAATTCTGGGTGCTACTTATTGATTATATTTTGGCTTTTGTTGGGATTTTTTTTCCGCAGATGATGTAAACAGGTTTCTGGTAAAATTCAACTCTTCACAATACCTGTCTCCTTTGTGAGATTTTTTTTAAAACAATCTTAATGATTTTACTATGTTTTCAGGTGGAGGTTAATGAAGCCTGGAAGGTCAAAGCACCTCTAAAAGATCCTACCCCGCAGCCCAAAAATAAACCAAAAGCCAAGTGAGTGCAATAACAGAACTTTCAGATATAATGCCATGTAATATCTGGGAAATTATAGACGATATTCATTAGGGGTGAAATGGGCAATAATTTAACTTGTACTTTATTTTCATTTTTGTGTGATTTGGACCACCATAGGCGTGAAGCTGTGACATTGCAAGAGAACCAGGACAAAGATCATGGATCAATTGAACATCCAATGCTACATTCAGACACATCCAAAATGACGGGTTTCCAGCAAACCACATTTGCTGCAATGGTTAGGCCAAGAAAAACATTTACTATTCTACTTGAAAAATACTCCATATTGGGAGAAGCATTATGATATCATTACTCTAGTTTATTTGTATTAGCAGTTGAAAGAATGTTCTGTATGTTTCTTGCCAAACATTACACATGTGCCTTGAGACTTTCCTTCTATGGATTCACACTGTCAACATCACTAGTAAACTTAAGATATAGAGGCCTACTTTCAAGCAACTTCTGGGAGCATTTTCTTCTGACACTTAGTTACTCTAATGTTAAAATCTAGCTCTTGCATTTTCTTCTTACTTAAGTTATTGTGCTGATATCAAGAACTTTTGAATTGTGTAGAACCTGGACAATGTGGAAAACCAGTACATTAATGTCAATCTAGAAGATCCAGGCCAAGACCTTCATCAAGGTATAAATTTATAATTGTTTCCCTGTACCAGTGTACGACACAAACACTGTGTTTGACAGTTTTCTTGTATCAATGTATTTTGATTCATTTGTCTTTCCTCCAGTTGATGCAGATAACATTACCTTATTTGACCACTTTGAATCACATCGGAACGATACAAAGCTAAACAGGCATTTCGAAAGGTGAATCCAAAAACCACAAAAGTAGACCTCAGCCTCTTAGTTTAACATGTTATAGAGTTCTTTGTTTGCCCTACAAGTTACAAATGCAGCAAAACTTTATTTCTCAAAGGGTATTCTATAAGTCTAGTAGAATTGTTGAAAAATGTCTTCAACATCTTCATTCTCACAACAAATCAGCAATTTATTAAACTGCTTGGCAGGTTTGACATTGAGGGAGATGAGGAGACACAGACAGATTTTGCCACTTTTGATAACACTCAAATCCCAGATACTCTCATACCATCTCCGCCTGAGCAACAAGAAGGTGAACAAAAAATGTCTAATTTGTGTCTAAATGCTATTAATTTAATTTTTCACTACTGAATGAACATCTATATCTAGTTATGTACTTAGATTGAATACTTTGGTTGCAGATTTGATAGTATAAAAATGGAAAGGATATAATCATAGAACAATCTATAGCTGGGATAAATATTTAATTTGGCAGAATTCTTTACTTTTCCTGGTGAAAAATAAACTGATTTATTTGGCTTCATAACATTTAGAAGCATGCCATGGTTGTGATATGCCTCTTCTAAGGCCTTAGGAGCATATAAAGATAGAACACATTTACAGTGACCAGTTATAATGATTTCATAATTCATTTTCCACCTCTATAAAGAATGTGGAAACCACTAAGTCCACTACTAATGGATTGTAATGCAAATCAAAGTTTTAAACATCTCACTGAGTGGTAAAACCAAGGAGGTAGTTACATAAGCTGAAGTGTTGACTTCTTTCAGCTAATGAGATCCAGGAGCAGCATCCCAAAGATGGGTTAAATCCGACACATGAAGGAAAAGGAAATATTCAGGTTTGCTTTCCAATGAAATTATCTTAATGAGTTATGGTTTTATGGAACATGATACTCTGATAGGTCTAGGCATCTTGAAACTAAGGGCATTTCTGTCTTGTGTATGAATATGATACTCAGCAGCCAAAGGTCCTAGAAAAGCCAGTTCCACCTCAACGTAGAGCAAGAAAGCCTCCAACCTTTACCATGGATAATGATGAGATTGTAATCCCTGGTCACATTTATCAGGACTGGCTTAAAAATTGCTCAGACATAGTGTCAAGAAGAGGAAGAAAAAGAAAGGTACACCTTCTGAGTGAATAAATATGTTACTTTTAAATTCCCACTTCTTCCAACTTCCTTGAGTTAAGCATAGTTGTTCTCATTTGCAAGATATGTCTCAAATTACTGTGGTAAGAGGTGCAGGTGTTGTAACATTATTTTCGAGACCAGTCATTCACTCTTCATCTGCCTCTATTAATTTTATGTTGTTTATAGTACACAGATGTATTCGCAACTACAAAAGTAGCCAGACGCATGGATATTCCTCCACATGTGCTAATGGAGGAGCTATTTACCAGAGGGAGTAGAGATGTTCATTATCCAAAGCCTCTTTTAAATCTATGGGTGAAAAGCACCCAGCTTCCCCATGGTTTACCATTTGGTTAGATAGCTTCTCACAGAACCATTTTAAGATTCTCATTGTATTGATATTCATTTATAATAAGTTAAATTCTACTTTTACTTGCAGGGAGGACCCCTGGCATCCAACATCCTGAACAACCACCATCAGAAAGAACTAACTTTCAAGATCCTTCAGGAGGATATGTATGCTATTTAGCCAACAGTTAGATTTTTAGTTGTCTGTCTTCCCTGCTCACTGATTCGAGTATTTTTATTTTTATGAAGGCCTTTGATGATTTTCACAGTGGAGTAAGCCCCCAAGTCATAGACTCTATAGAGAAACATAGGGAAGCTTTCAATAAGATGCCACGTGATAACAATATCATACTGGAGGAGCTGAGAAACAATGTCACAAACATAGAAGAACAATTAGGTGATGTCGGAGGAGTACACAAAACTAATATTATTGATCTGTTGTCCACACCAGGAGGTTCAGGGAACCAAATCGGATTGATTCCTAGTTCGCCCGGATCTGAACTTGGCTTCAGATCACTGAGTTCTGATATCAATTCTGGGAAGTTAGTATATTCTCTCTCACCCTCTCTCTGATATCTCACACACATACACACACATGTGGGTGACTAATATATAAAGAATGGAACACATAACTGCTTAGGTCCAACAGAAAGAGACCCTACTCTTCCTCTAGGCACAGCGGCAGTAGCCTTGAACCGGTGGCAGAAGATTGTGCTGATCCAAACTTCAAGATGACTAGACTATCTGAATTGTCTGAAACTGGTTTCACCCCTGATAATGGTGTGTGTTTTTGGCTATATATTGTTTCTTCATTGCCTGGCTTATATTCATTGTTACAAGTGTTCTGTTTCCTGATTTAAATTCGCACCTTCATCACTTTCTTTTGCAGAAATATTGATGGAAACCGGACCAACACAGACACAAATCCCAAGAGCTGACCAACCATTTGATAAGATAACCGATTCTATTCGCAGGTAAAGTCAAGCTGAACTGTCTTTTCAGCATCCGAACGTTTAACAAAAAAACAAAAATTCAACTTAAAATCATTAGAAGAGATGCAACGTGTGATGAACTAATCATTGTTAGTTAAAACGAATGATGGCTAAACAGGCAGCTGAAGACTCATTTTGATATGCCCGGCTCTCCAAAGGTAGAGTGTTTGAATGATCTAACGGTTGGGATGAGCAGAAAACAGGCAGCATGCATGTTCTATCAGACTTGCGGTACACAATTTATAATAACTCTATATATTTGCATCTTCTTCAATTCCTGAATACATGTATATTACATATATAGTATGTGCCTTTATTAGTACGAGTTCAAAGGGCAGTCTAAATTGTATGCAGTTCTCGCGACCCAAAACTTCATTCGTGTAGAACAAAAGGGGGCGTATGAGGGCATTCTCATCTCCAGAGGTGCAGAGATGTGACTTTGATGAAAGAGGTCTTTATACACAAACCTAACCTCCCTTATTTACAATGACTTATGGGGAGTGATAACAAGTTTTGGCTGTTAGGATTTAACTTAAGTTAAGAATGGATGAGTGGTCAGCTCCATACTACACTAGATGATCAAGTTGGAAATATATATATATATATATCAAAATATGTATACATGTCCTAGAGACATTCTAACTCATATACTATATATATTATTACAAGTACTATTAATTATTACAAGTTACCTGCAGATGTGTTATTAATTACAGCATATGGTTGTACACTTGTACATTATATCCTTTACATTCTCAAATTGAATGAGAAATTGGGTGGAAATTGAAAACATAAAGCTATCAACAAGAGGAACTTTGCGCGTGTCCAATTCCTCTGCCAAAATATAGTGATCAAATGGGCGGGAAATGAAACATATATAGCAGACTCTGATAAATCAACATATATCCGGTAAGAGTCGGAATATGCACCTTCAGTTAGGTTAGGGTTCAACCGTATGATTTCCCGACTGGAGTATATGGTTGGAATAATTCAAAAAGGATAATACCCCGCCCAAAATTAATCCCAATAATGATATATAGAAGAAGTGAGATGCGTGGCCTGCTAGATGTTAGATCCTAGAGGTGAGAGATTTTTGGTTAGGCATTAGATTTCACATCATATTCGATTTCAATCTCCAATTATCAATTCCAGATTATTCCATATCAATTTCGCAGTAAATTGGAATTAATACAAACATATACTCCCTCTCTCCACAGATAAACTTCTCGTTTACTATTTACGGGATCAAATTTTATTTACTTTGTTTGCCTATTTTCGTCATCCATTTGAGAAAATAATATAATCATGTTACCTTCAGTTTTGTAAATCTTTTAATATAGTTTTTTAATATATAATTTTTATTTTTAAATTTTACACAATTTTTCATATAAAATTATTTGAAAATCACTTCAGTCAAATATCGTAACGCGCAACGGGAAGTTTATTTGTGGACGGAGGGAGTATAATTGTTTCAAAAAAATAAGATAAAGAAATATAAAAAAATGGAAAAAATAATTACTCCATGATGTAATAAATGCTTATAAACTTAGATTATACTTCGTATTTCACAAATTAAAACAAAGAAAGGATAATCAAATAATATTTCAAATACTTTTAATGTTTTAAATTTATCTTTTGAAAATTAAAACTCAAATATAATATAATCCACATATACTAAACCCCCGGCACATTTTTTGAATGTTATTAACGTACAACGTAGTATATTTATTTATTCATACTTTTCTCAATTTAATGATACACGAATAGTCAATGCATCTGTTTCTGCTGAGGTTCGAACCTGAGTGAACTTCCTCATGAATCCTAAGGAACGGACTTCCTAACACTCATGCCAGACGAGAAGTTCCAAAATAAATTTATTACTTAACGAAAAATATAAACAAATTTATCTATGTTTAATATTGAACCGCCGATAAATGCTGAATTAATCATTTTTTATTGACTGAATCATTTAAATTATTTGCTATCGAATGTTACCCTGGCTCCTAAATATCAAACCGGTCATTTGATTCGATTTTTTTTCAATATTCTTTTATTTAGTTTTTACCATGTTTAAAAAATATTTAAGATCAAATGGATACTTTTTTCATCCCTAGTGGTTGGGCTGAGCAAACTAGCAAAGGTGTAAAAGATTATGTAAAATGAGAAAAATGTGGGTAATGGTATCCAAGTGTCATATAAACATTGAGAAATTTTTTTGTTTGTACCTTAACAATCTAGCTTTAAATATTTTAATTTCACGATCGTTCGAAAACAAAACATAAAATACGGAGTACTACGTATAAGATTTTTGTATCATGATCAAATATAACTAAAAAACTTCTTATGGAGCATTAAATTTATGAACTTTAAAAAAAAATATTGTAAAATAAAAAAATGGTTAAGTACAATTTGTTGGGTAGAGAATGAAATGATATGAATCCAAATTAGAAACTGTAAAAGTGTAAAAATATTCATTTTGATGAGAACAAAAAATACAATGTAATCTTAATTGCGAAAATCGAAAAGGTCTCATCATATTATTGAATTTTAGATTCTTTTTTCATGTCTTAATTTCAACTAAATACAAAAATTTAGTAATGTAGTTTGAGGCTAGAACCTGAAGTTTAGAGATTAGGATGTGAATAAAATTCTTATTGTTTTTTCTTTTGACAAAATATAATTCTAGTTTTAACTAATTTCTAGCATTTAATAAATAAAATATGTGAACTTATCAAAGGCTTGAAAATGAAATATGAAGTCTAAGCAAGTAAGGCCTCGTTTGGCATCAACATTAGCGGTTAGCATTAGTATTTTAAAAAGGTTATATGTCGCTAATGTTCAGTATTATCGTTTTCAGAATTAATCTACACTGTTAAAATTTTATTCAAAATATTGACGCTACTAAAAAAACATTGTTCACAAATGAATGCTTTCGAAGTTTGACTCAATCACAAGTTTGTAAAGCACATATACAAGCTAAGTATTGTGTGTGCCCCTATTGAATGAAGTATATCGCAACGATTTTATTTAAATATATTAGTCATTTTTAACAAAAATAGAAGTAGTTTGGAGAAAACGAAAAAAATGAAAGATAAATTATTTTAAAAAACAGAGAGAGTATTTAATTTTTCATTCAGTTTTATTAAAGATATTTTAGTAAAAATCTACTCCCTATTTTTTAATTTCCCGGAGTACTTAAAAAAACATAAAAATTCAATTCTAGTAGAAGAGGGAGTAGTACTTTTTGGTGAAAAAAAACCCTTGAAAGGTTGAATAAATAGGTTTGCCCCAAATCCGTATATAGTTGAATAGACTCGAATCCGCCCCCATCTCTTTCATGCCCTCCCAGCCGCGCCCCTCTCATCTCCATCGGAATTCCTAAAATCTTCGCGGCTCTGCTGTGCTCTAATGGACGCGCTTCAGTCGAATTACATGGATTCTCAATCTCAGCCTGAAGCTTCATCCGAAGCTCTTCCCCAACATTTATCCCAAACTCTCGTTTCGGTCGATCAATCATCATCTCAGAACCATTCTGAATCGTGCCCCGAAAACACCTCCCAAACCCTAGATCAGTCCCAATTGCACCCAGTCGTCGCTTGTCCTCAGGAGGATAATCAGCCCGGAAAACCCTTAGATTCGGAACAGCCGGACATTCAGCTGGGCTCCGTGCAGAAGACGGACGGTAATTCGGCCCAGGGCCAAGATAAAAACCCTCCGGAGGATGGCGCTGAGAAGCTCGAAGTCCGGAAACACCTTCTGTCTGAGAACGGGCTGACAAACACTCACAGCGGCACCGACAAGGACCACTCTGGCGGGGAAGAGGAGACTACAAGCAGGAGAAGGCGCAGGAGTAGGTGGGATCCCCCACCTGGCGAGTCTAGCAATGATGGAACCAGCGCTGGAGGTGATGGGAGTGGGACTGGAACTGGACGAAAAAGGAAGTCAAGGTGGGCAGATGATGAGCCTAAACCACTGATTCAGCTACCTGATTTTATGAAGGATTTCACCGGAGGTATTGAATTTGATCCTGAAATTCAGGCATTAAACAGTAGGTTAGTCGAGATCACTAGAAAATTGCAGTCTGGGTTGCCTTTAGACGATAGACCTGATGGTGCTCGCTCACCCTCGCCTGAACCCATCTATGATAACATGGGGATTAGAATAAACACTAGGGAGTACCGTGCAAGAGAGAAATTAAACAGGGAAAGACAAGAGATCATTTCACAGATGATAAAGAAAAATCCAGCTTTTAAGCCTCCTGCCGACTATAGACCACCAAAACTCCAGAAGAAGCTTTACATCCCTGTCAAGGAGTACCCTGGTTATAACTTCATTGGACTTATCATTGGACCAAGAGGGAATACTCAGAAAAGGATGGAAAAGGAGACGGGTGCAAAAATTGTGATCAGGGGGAAAGGTTCCATGAAAGAAGGCAGATTGCAGCAGAAAAGAGATATGAAACCCGATCCTTCTGAAAACGAGGATCTTCACGTGTTGGTGGAAGCTGATACCCAAGAATCACTTGAGGCTGCTGCAGAAATGGTGCAAAAGCTCTTGCAGCCTGTTGATGAAGTCCTTAATGAACATAAGAGGCAACAACTCAGGGAACTTGCTGCATTGAATGGAACTATTAGGGACGAAGAATATTGTCGGTTATGTGGTGAACCTGGCCATAGGCAATACGCTTGTCCCTCTCGCACTTCCACCTTTAAGAGTGATGTTATGTGTAAAATATGTGGCGATGGGGGGCATCCCACTCTTGATTGTCCAATGAAATCTACAACAGGAAAGAAAATGGATGATGAGTATCAAAGCTTCTTAGCAGAGTTGGGGGGAACCATGCCTGAGTCTTCAACTAAGCCCATCACTGGAACACTTGCTCTTGGTAATGGTGGTAGTTCAGGTGGGAATCCTCCTTGGGCGACCAGTATCAGCACTGGTGCTGTGGTTCCCAGCTCAGCACATCCAGGTTTAGGGTCAACAGCGGTAAAGCTTAAGGAGTATGATGAAACGAACTTGTATATCGGTTACCTTCCTCCTACACTAGATGATGATGTCCTCATCAACATGTTCTCTCCTTTTGGCACTATTGTGATGGCTAAGGTTATTAAGGACCGTGTTACTGGTCAGTCTAAGGGTTATGGTTTTGTCAAGTATGAAGATGTTCAGCAGGCCAATAATGCAATTTCTAGTATGAACGGTCACCATCTTGACGGTAGAACTATTGCTGTGAGAGTTGCTGGCAAGCCACCTCAGCCGACTGTACCTCCGGGCCCCCCTGCTCCTCCCATGCCTACATACCCTCCCCCCAATCAACCGATTGGAGCATACCCGTCGCAGCAATATGCAACCGGTGGGGCAATGGGGAACACTCCAGTTCCGTGGGGACCACCTCCTCCTTATGCCCACTACCAACTTCCACCCCCGCCCCCTGGTTCAGCCATGTATACTCCAGTTCATGCTTCTCCTTACGGAATGCAATACCCTCCTCCTTTACCTACTGGTACAACTACTTCAGGGGCCTCCACCCAAACGGTTC